GCAGTAAACAGTTGGTTATATGGATAATATGACCGGTAGCGTGTATCATTTTGGTCCCAAGCATTTTCATATGTATGCCAAACAATAACAGCAGCAATGAATACAAATGACCAGCTGCAGCATCTATATTTCAAATATTGATCAGGCATATGAGGACATAATTTGTTATAAAGAGACTAAAGAGGCAATGGTTAAGTGTAGAGAAGACGCAAATTAATCAACAAACCACTATAACTTACTCTTGAAAGAGGAAAAGAGAGACAGGAGAAAAAGACTGGAAAAGGAAAGAGACAACAGGAGAGGAAGGGCTGAAAGTTGATTTTCTAAAGGCTCAATGCCAGAAGCAGCAGGAAAGAAAAACCAAGAGAAGGACAAAAGGCAAGGGCCTATGCTGCCAAAGTTTGGTAGAACATAAATAGAAACGGGGATTTGTAAGGGGAGAGAGAGAGAGAAGAGGATTGGAATCACAGCATGTCAAAGAACTATCAGGAAGCTCTTGGTGAATAACCTAATTGGTAAATCATCTGTCTCAACAATGTAAGTATGATGAGTTAAATGATGCCATCAACACTAACAAAGGTTCACTGGACCCGAGAGTTGTTAGAATATTCAACCCAAACCAATTGGCAACAAGTAAATAGGCCACAGACTTATATACTAGTTTGGAAAGTGTCCTTTCACTGAAGTGGGAGACACTATCACTCCCTGCACATGCAAACCCCAGTTGCAAGTGTACATGAATACATGAACAAAAGAGGAATCACTTCCCAGATCGATAAAATTGAGCCTTGACCAAAACCCTCCCTATCATAAAGCATTTAACTCAAAATCAATAGGCAATGAGTAGAGAGAGCAAGAATGCTAATATACTAGTTTGGGAAGCGCTATTTAATTAATGTGAGACGTTGTCTAACAAGTTGCATAAGTCGATATGCACCTTATTATTGGAGAACAGCCTAGAAAAAGAAAAACTGATTAACAAACAATTACATTGAGAGATGCCTGTAAGTGATGAGAACGCTGCCTAGACGCATGACTTAGTTAGTTGCTCTTAAGCTGTGTATTGGTTTTTATTCTTTTTGGAATACCTCCATTTCCGCGAGCACCAATATGCAAGCCACCAGTATGGTAATGTAAGCAGTCCCCTTTGCTTTGCTCAGGAGAAGAGTTTGGGCTCTCAGGTGGAGAGTGGAATGAGATCTTGGCCATGTTTTCGGAATTGCATATACAAGTTCCAGCACAGGACAGAGATGGCACAGCATGCACATTGCTGCCTGAAGCAAGTTAAACAATATAAACATGAGTCATATGAAGAATCTGAATGCCTCAGACTTGATGAAAAGTAAAAACCAGTCAGGAAGACAAGTGGGGTATGTATTACCTGAAGCAGATAGATATATTAGGAGAGCTCCATCAGGAGGAAGCTCCTCACAAACTGTAGCCAGAACCTGCCATTGAAAGCACGAGCACATGTAAACCTCTTGCTGTTAACAAAGGGAATTTGTGCAGAATATGTTTACCTCTAAACTTATTGCACTCATATACTTCAGCAAAAAGACTCAGAAAGTAAGGCATTTTATACACTATTGTCATGATTCTAAGTCGAACCAAAGCTTCTACCATACTAATAATGGCACAGTAAAAGATGTCAAACAGTGTAAAAAGAAGTGCAACCTACCAACTCACCCCAAAAGCCCAAACATTGAACTTTCAATATAAAGAAGTGCATAGCTTGAAAAACCAGATTGTTAGTAGATACTCACTGCCATGAAATGTGTAATTGATGGATGATATAAGACAGCTTTGCATGGGTTAGGTGGCAAAGTTGGATCAGTTATATCTTGTGAGTAATTAACTCGACTAGGCCCTGGGGCCCCATTCTGAGCAATGTTGCCATTCCCACTTGAATGAGCTCCACTAAACTGGTAAAAGGAGCCACTGGGTTCCCACTCCAGACACTGGAGCATTCTGAAAGTGTCAAGAGAAAGCTCCGAAAACTTGATCTGGTCCAAGAATGAAAAAGAAAAAAGCCACAGAGAGTGGAATGGTCAGAATTCAATGAATTAATCAAGACCACTATATCATAAGTCAAACCAACAAAAAATGTTAGCACCAAAATATCCATTTAGATTTTCTATGTGAACACCTAAACTGAACAAACTATAAATTTCATATACTAAAGGGTACAAACCTCATTAGGGTGGTAGCTGCAGAGTATCGCATCGCTTAATCTTAGTTTTCTCTTTGTGTTAGCAATAGAATCTGGATGCAGATCCAACACAATACTATATCTCAAAGGCCTGATATTCATAAAAGGTGGGTCAGCTTTCAGAAATTTAGCTATTTCCTGAACCACCAGCTTCCATTCTTTAAAGTCAGTTTCCTGAATAGAAGATCATTTGAAGGTTATGCAAACTGTCTACAAGGGAAGCACATGTCAAATGATATCTTTGGGCAATCATGGCATTCAATTAATAGTGAGGAGAGATTGAAAGTCTGCCATCAAATAGAAACCAAATTCAATTATCAAACAGCAAGGGGCATCAGAAAAAAAGCAGGCTTCATGTACATATTCAATAGTAAAGTATTACTCTTTCAGGCTGCGAGGACATTTCATTGGTTTAAACAGTTCACAATGACATTTTATTAATAATTTCAAAGTAAAAGCCTTGAATTTACAATCATTTCATTTCCACGAAAATTTGTGCTGACCATCCAAAACATAGCAATTAAATTTTCATCATGCATCCGAGTGGACCCTCCAAAACCAGGAGGAAAATAAGACACTTCACCACATCCATGTGTAGAATTTTCCATTGTGCTCCACAAGTCACGGTTTTGCACCAGTTCCTTATCAGCAATGAGGCATTGCAAAACTCCAAAGCCAAATAACTTACTGTGCTAGAAAAAATCCAAACTAGTTTAGGTTAAGAATCCCACCTCTATTAATGGCCATATATTGATGATTAGATAAGATTTAGCTTTCAATGTCAAATTGAACATGATGAAGCAATTTCACTTCCATGAGGCATCCCCCTCAAAAAGATTCCATTTTGATATTCCACAACGATGAATAATAATTTTATCTAAACCATTACAGGAAGAACAGTGAAGTATAAATACTAGGATGTACAAATGTGGCTCCAAAAAAAATCAGATTATGAGAAAAAAGCACTGCAATGTAGATGTCACAAAAACATTTTCAAGCAAATAACCTGGAAAGTCCTCTTGCACTCATCAACCAACATTTTGAGCTGATTTACCAACTGATAGACCATTTCTCGCCGGCCCAACACTAAACAAACCGTCAAAAACCGAGCAAGAAACCTCAATTGTTTGTTGACAAGATTCAGATCCTGAAACACACCATCTTTGAAATACTCCCTAGTCAGGATGGCTTCATAGAATATATATGACTCTTGGAGATAACTTGCCTCACTTGTCCTCATATACTGCCCGAAATAAAGCTGACCAATACGAGACGCAATATCTCCAATCTCCCATCTCTTGAGCCCTGCTTCCACCAGCTTCTGTCGATTCTCTTGTTGAAACTTCCACAATTGGGTGTACACTTTAAAAACTTTGTGAAAGTACGTACCATATCTAGTGCAAATGCACAATATACATAGTTTAGAGTTATTGTAATTACTGGACCAATGAGGCAAATTACATAAACTACAAAGCAAAGTTTAACAAAAAATCCTCATTTTGTTGATTTTTCGTCAATTGGTAAAGCTGATTTATTAGTCACAGAAGTACGTGTTTGACTGTCAATGAAGTGTAGGACCATCAAGAAAATAGTATAAAATTCATGGAAGATCAGTTTCTTATGAAACTTCACAAAGTACAAAGAAATAACTACGTAAAATTTCCATTTCCACTCTTCTTGATAACATAATATTAATATCTAAATATTAGAGGAGTAAGGAGAGCTGGCAGAAGACCTACGGAATCAAAATTACTTTTTGGCATTCTTTTGGGCTTCGATTACTAAGGACTTTGAAGGAATTTCACACCATTTTTTTTTCATTTTGTTGGAAAGATGGAAAGCTTTATGTGACTCATAGTCATTATGTATTGCTTTTGCCTTTTTTATCCTTTACGATGGACATCTTATCCATCCTATGCTACTGTACAATGTATTACTTGCAAATTAATAAATCTTTTGTTTCCTATCAAAACAGACAACATGATATTAAGATCATACAGGAAGGAAGTCAGAAATTTAAAACTACAAAGATCAATCAAGAATAAACCAAAGGGCGGCATATGGTTCAGAGGGACCACATTGGAATAATCAATACTTTGAGGGACTCGTATAATCTATAAACAAAACAAAATGAAGATTAAAGGAACCCGTCCCTCGAGGGGGAGAAGAAGGGGGAGGCACAGGGATGACCCCCTTGTCCTGAGGTGGCGTCACTGTTGAGGCCATTACACATGTTGGATTTACAACAAAATGGAGGACAGTGTCATTTTAAAACTCGTGGACTAATTAGTCAATTATAACTAATATGGCCATGCAGTTGAGGACAATGATCTAATCAGAATGCTTGATTACAGATTACTAAACCAATATACAGATATATATATATATATATACACACACACATATGTGTTATAGACTCCTTTGTGGGTTGCTCTTATAGAAGGTGTGGCAAATAAGTAGCTGGAATTATATGGCTTAGGTTTTGTTTTGTTATTTAGTTTTTAACGTTGTTGCTTAGTTGGAGACTTATCTCCTAATTAGGTCTGTCAGTGATTTAGGTTATAAGGAGCCTAACTTATAGGTTTCCTATATTTGTAAGGAGACTAGTCCTATTTAAAGGACTCTAGAATTAATAAAAACCCTAAGCCGAATTTTAATCATAAATATAGAGATTGGAGCTCTCTCTAACGAGGTCCAAGGTGTCAAGCTCCCTTTGATGAGTTTGATTATAATTCACAATAGGTCGCTCAAAGAATTGTAACAAGGGTAAGAAGCAGATTCTGGAACTTGATTTGCCGGTGAATCGCCCAGTTACAAGATCCTTGGTTAGAGAAGGTATCAATATGTGTGTGCATGTGTGTGAGAGATAGAGTTAAACATGATGGGACTTTCTTTGCTTTTTCTTTTTCTTCTGTTTCCTCTATCTAACAGGCAACCAAACAGATTAGATTTTAGGAGAGTATGGAAAACCACTTTTGAGAAATTTCTCTCGATACAACTAGAAGCGAAACTGCTTTTTTAAATCCTCTTTGTGTGAGGGTTCCTTTCTTATCAAATTCAAGTTGTATAAAACAAAATCGCACAACAATGCTGTATCCATACTTCATATTGTCTCCTGTTCTATTAGATTTCATCTTTTTTTTCTCACCAGCAAAATACTTTCTGATTTTATTTATTTTCACTGTGTTCGTTTTTAGCTAATTATATATGCGGATGACTACAATAACACTGTCAACAAAATTTTCATGCATAATAACAATGGCGACGAATATATAATAATAAATCCATGATTCAGATTCTTCTTCTTTTCTTTTACTTGTATATATTTTCATCCGTTTTTCTTGACAACCAAACACCGTAGCAGTAAACTCAAATTCTCAGTACAATTAGAAAACGCAATTTTCTCTAGAAACAAACGGAAGATAGAGAGAGAAATGGATTGACCTGTTGCGTTCGTAGTAGGGCAAATCCCTAATTTTGGAGAATTTCTTGTCGGCCTTCGCGACCAGAGACCAATAGACTTCGCTCACCGGAATATTACTCTGCTGCTGCTGCTGCGACATTTATATGATCAAAATGACGTCGTTGAGGTGGTGAACGGAAAATGGCCGACGATTTAACTGTGTGTGGGAGAGACAGAGAGAGAGAAGGGAAAGGAAGATGGCGTGAGAGATACTGTTACAATGGAGTGGACCAGTTGGAATTTTACGTATGTGCTTTTTCTGTTTAGTAACATACACTACGACCCCTGTGGCTTCTGAACATGTCAATAGTTGCCCTCGATAGTGCATGGGCGGATCGAACGGTAAACTCTAAGTATATAATTTTTAATTTTAATCTTAACATTGACCCTATCTTAATTCGAGGTACTCAATTCAAGTATTGTCCAATTTTAATTCGAATGGGTTCGGATTGAATTCGGATTACTTAATTCAAATTGATTTCTAGTTAAAATTCGGGTTGTGTTTGGGTTACTCAATTTTATGTTGATTTTTTGAAGTGTAGATTTAATTTTTTTTTAAATATAGATCTAAATTTTTCAAGTGATCTAAGATGAAAGGCGAAGAGCAAATAAAGAGAGAGAGTGAGAGAGGGAGGGAGGAGTGATCGATGAGAAAGAGGTCAAAAGTCTAAGACGACTCAGACGAATGACGATTGAGAGAGGAGTAACAAGTGAGAGAGAGATATGAGAGTGATGGAGGCACATGGATAAAGACTTGAAATGAAATGAAAGTCTGAACTCTAAAGAATGAAAATAAATATTAATTCTAGTTAAATGTATTTATATATTTATGTATATTCGGGTTCAACCTGACAACCTGAGACTTGTCCAAATTCAATTTGAGTTGAATTTTTTTACCCAGACTCAACCAAAGTATTAAAAATTATAACTCAAGCCCTATTTTTTTCAGGTTTAGTTCGAATTAAATTCAGGTTGGCCTACCCAAATTACACCCCCTAGTCCTTATAGTTTCTAATGTGAGCTTTGCTACTCTTACCTAATTTTGAGAGCAAATTTTTGTAGTATCTTTGAGTTTGAATTTTGGCATCTTTTAAAATCAAGTCATCAAAAATGTAACCATTATAAATATCATAATCTCGGTACAAATAATCTATGTTTGACTAGACCAAGAAGAAGATCATTTGACGTGCGCATAAGTTAAGTCAGACACAGTTTACCGTTGAACAAAAAAAAAATGATATAGCATGTTATAACTAAACATAGACTAAATTTCTTTTATTTTTTGGATTTGTACTTAGGGGAGTTCAAATTTTTGATTACCCAAATATTTTGACTTAAACTTATCCTATTGATAGGCTACCACAAAAAATTGACAGACCAATGGAAAAAAATTTGGTATTCCGCAAAAATCGGGCAAGAATACAAAATATCTATAAAAATTTCGTCTTCTTACCTGCATATATATATAAATGTGTTAAATTTTTAACATTTTAAATATTATTGTGTTTATTAATTGATGTAGGTTATTTAATTGAATTATTAAAATAATATAAAAATTAATAACTAAAAAATATTGTGTTCACCCGATTATTTTGGGCGGAATACGAGTAGGAATAATATACTTGATTGAATAAGGTAAGCCAAGAAAAATCTCTTCCATAAAATATCGGATAAAAAGATGGAATACCTTAATTTTTACTCGAGGGTATGGTGAATACCATTAGTTGTATTCTTCCCGTGGTCAACAGATCAACTAGTTGGATTTATTGTTATGGTATATATTTTTTAAAATTACTTATTTACCCGTAATTCAAGAAAATACTAAAAATATTTCTTAAAAAAAATCCCTCTAACACCCCCCCACTATTCTAAGCCTTTTGTAGTCGCCACGGACTCCATCACCTCTCCACCATCCAAAACCTTACAACCACCACCTCCTTTCCATTAATTCTTTCTAACTCGGAACCTAGTTATCTCCACTAACTCACAAGCCCATCATCAGCGTTCACCAACATTTTGAATCCCCACAAGTCCACAACCCTAACCTTATTAGAGATGTAATAGGATTCAAATACTTTACCATTGATAAATCAGGTGTCTAAGCTCAATTGTTCTATCTCAATAATCACATAAGCTCAACATTGTCCAATCACTATGACCTTAAACTCTAGCCCCTTCACCTCTAGTAACCTTACACACAAAAGACTTACCAAAAACAAAAACCTTACACACAAAGAACATTTGTGGGCCATGGTGTTCTAAATCAGCGGACAAAACCAAACAAGTATCATGCCAATTATTTAGGATGATAAGCTTAAATTGACATATTAATTACATGAACAATGAAGGATGAAGGAATAGAGTGAAACTTCCCATCAAGGCCTAGAGAGGAATCCTTGACTTTTTTTTTTTTAACGATCATAGGTTTTTGGGTCAGATTATACACATTTCAACTAATTTTCACTCCAGTTCGATCAAAAATAAGTCTTTTACGTTGGGACTAGAATATTCACGAGCGATAAATCTCTAATAATATGACCAATGAATTGTCAAGAGGAATCTCGACTTGCCCCAATAGGGATGAAGGGATTTTAGATTCATCAAATATGGCTTATTTGGTTATAATGTTGCATATACAACAACTCGTATCAAAACATGGATTATTTTACTTTTAAAAAAAATATGAAAAATTACACCAAATGAGTGTAGCTTGAATAATTACTCCAAAAAAATATTTTATGTAATCCAAAAATAAATTATTAGAACCTTCCAAAACATTTTCTTTAAATGCATATCTTTTGTCTTTTCATGAGCGAGTTATATTCAAACTATCTCAGAAAAATGAGTGATGTGCGTGTTAGATCTTACACAATATAAACACAAGAACAGATTTCTCTCCCTTGGTGAACTCGAGTGAGTCAGTCGAGCGAACCCTACTGCTTGGTACAGCCTGTGAGGTCCGGTGGTAATCTGAAACGATAATGGGAGACCCTCGTGGATCAACGGAACGATCCAGTAAGGCTGAGGAAGGTTCCTGGAACTAAGAAAGACAAGTTAGAAGAGTGCCGAAGTGTTTTCTGGCGTATCCCTCCGACGATCAAGTCAGTTTTTGAGAGAGAGAGAAAAAGAAAACACTGAGTATAATTTGTAGCAAAGATTTCACCTCATTCTCTTGCCTTTTGTGAGGAGTATTTATACCTCAAATACTCATGATTGTTGTTAGTGTAATCAGTAGGTGATCATTAGATACAGGCAACGTGTGCACTGATTCCTATGAGGAATGTCTTCTCTTTTAACTGCTCGGGATCCCGAGCAACCAAGGCTAAGTCATTGGTCTGTCGACTGTTCAATGAGCTCTTCTCGGCAAGGATGTAATAAATGTCCAGCTTAGAGACATTTATTACCTTTCACTTCCGAGCCTTACCGCATTAAATGTTATCTCATCAAGGAAATGACGTAATTAAATGCTTACTTTTTCAATTCGTGTGTCAGCAAGGGCATCCGGTCTTTCTGTCTCTGATGTGACACAATATACCACGCGTCCATTCCCCATTGGCTGTGTCCCCTGCTTTCTTGTGCCTTCTGACACCAATTGTGTAAGACGAGGTCATGATAACTAACCTAGCCTAGCCTAGGCTAGTGACCTGTACATCAATAGCCTCTGTAGGAACAGAGAACGTCATCCTGGACAGAGGTACATCTCAGTACCGAGGGGGATTGGTACATGTAGGACCAATGTACCCCCCTATCCGACCCCGAGGGATACGTGTCGGTATGTAAACGTACTGGATGTCAATGATCCCTATGAACAGTACCTCAGGGGAACAGGGACTTGTGATCCGACGGGTACGTGTCGCGTTTATAGAAAAAAATTTAGTGACACCGAGGACACGTGTCTTCATCTTGGAGTACTTGAAAATGTCCCATCAACTGCCCCCCAGCCTTCGATCTCCTGACACCGAGGACACGCGTCGTAAGGAGACGAAGGGTTCTGCAACTACCCCAACTGCTTTATCATTACCTTCAGTCGTTTTCCCCTGCTTCGGAGGTCGTGCGCATTAAATGTGCCTCTTCGTGCTTCATGCCCAAATGATGGGGAGGAGTACTATATAAATGAGCTTCCTCTCTCCCCCTCTCACTTTGCCATTTTCAGAGAGCCATTGCCTGAAACCTCGCCGGAGATCCCTTTCCTTTCGTCGTCTACTGTCCAATCTTTCACCAGAGTCTTAAGGCCAGTAGACTCATCCTTACTTCTGGCCATTTTGAAGGAAGGAGTCGCTTCAAGTTTCAAGAAAAAACTTCCTTTTACGTTCTGGTGAGTCCTTGTATCTTCCCTTTCTTCGCCCTCCGTCTCTTCTCTTCTTTTTGGTTTTCCAATAACTAGAGGCGTTTCTGGTTGCTACTCAGCGACCAATCCTCAAGAAGCCTCCTTGGGGATCTTCGTGAAAAAACCCCTCCTTATTCAATGTTTATCACTTTTTGGAGATGCCCCGTCGTCACCCTGCCCCCGAGAATCCTCAGGCCAGTTCTTTGAGACCAGGAAGTATAAAGTAAAAGGGGGCGAGCAAATTAATAGTTTTAGGGTCAAGTACAGCATCCCCCCGTATGTAGACATAGAGGAATATAACCCGACTGTGCATTTCCGTACCCTCGGGGCCGAGGATGAGATGCCCTTTTATACCAAAGCCGTCATAAAGGGCGAAATTAGGTTCCCTCTGCCCCCTATACTCCTCCAGTTCCTCTCTTATTTCCACCTCTTCCCCGGGCAGTGTTGCCTTAATGTCTTCAGGATAATTATGGGTGTCTTAGAGCTCAACAAGCGTCTCGGGATAAACGTTGGGCTGAACGATGTCCTCTTTTGCTACTCCCTTTTAAGAGTCATGCCTCAACAAAACTTCTACCTCAAAGTCAGGGACCCATCCATGTACCTCGTAACTCACCTTCCCGACTCAAACAAGGGGTACAAGGATGACCTACTCATCTTCAAGGGATCTTGCCAGAGGGGTGCCTGTCCCGAGTACAACGGCTTGTTATGCCCTTTGGAATGGAGAACGACAAGTACGTCGACTTCTTCGGATCTATTATTTTGTTTTTTAGATT